TTTTTGTCATATCATTATTTTTGTCTAGGTCAACCATGTTATCTTTCCATGTGTGTTTAAAACTTTAACATGTCATTATATTGCCATGAATTAACAGGACATATCACATGATTTTTAATGGAAGAACTAAGTTGAGATCAAATTGTTAAACAATAGGGACTATGTCAAGGATTTTTTCGGTTTAGGGACCAAATCGAGAGTTTGTACAATAATTAAAAGACCAAAAAGTAAAGGTTGGTTTGCTATTTTTTTTGCTAATCCTACTTAATAGAGTTTGTTAAGGGTGTTTAGGTATTTTTAAACCTAGACTTCACCAAAAAGGCAATCCAAACGAAGAAAATTCAATTCCCTCCCTCTCGCCTCTCGAAATTTCGAAAACCAGCTCACTAAGCTGGTCGTGACTTTGTGAATTGTACCGAAAGTTAGATGCTTGTTAGCTTTCTTTTAGGATAATTACGTCTTTTCAAAATAATAGTCCCAAAAGCTACTCTCTCAAAAACAGCATGAATATTATCAATTAATTTCAATACTTATATTCGAATCAAGCTTTCGGTCAATGATTTTTCATCAAACCTTAATATTGGATTTAATTGGCTGAGAATTTAATTTTTATCAATAATTTAAAAAAACTCCTCATTCTTTATATTTTCCCATGTTAAAAAAAAAAAAAATCAATATTTTTATTCTATTGATGCTAGATGAGATTAAGGGACGTCCATTGGTGTAGTGAGAAGAGGGGTGAGATATTGCTACACCTTAATTTGTTAATCCCACATTATTTTTATTTATTTGGTCATATTATCTTTTATTACTTTATCTTTTTTATATTATGGTGTTTTCTTCAATCTTATCCCTGCACTTGTACTGGAATTTTCTCTATTTTGGTCACTTTCCCGAAATTCTGCTGGAAAGCTTTTCTTTTTATGTTGCTCCCACAATTTTTTCAAATTCTTCTCTCTTTAATTTTGCTCCCACAATTTCTTCAAATTCTTCTCTCTTTAATTTTTTTTCTAAATTTCTTTAATAGATGGTGTTTCGTTCACAACTTCATTAATTCTTATGAGATTTTCGTTCACACCAGAAACTGAGTACACTTGATTCGCAACCATTTGAAAAGATTTCGAGGGCTGGTACAAGCCCAACAATTTCAATCTTTTTTTAACTTTTTTTGGAAAACTTGAAAGTTACATTGAATTAATGATCTTAAATAAAAGAAAGGAAAGGAGAATGAAAAGAATAAAATGAAACTTAATTAGGAAGGGTTTGAAAAGTTGCATTGAATTGATGGCCTTAAATTTCAATCTCTTCTTCATTTTCACTTTCTAGGATTAGAATTGTTTCCTCGAATTTCTTGGGGAGTGGGGTGCAAACAAAGCAAGGATTTCCTGCAAAATTTTAGTAGGATAAAGAAAACTACTCCAAGAGAAAGGAATCAAGGAAAGAGAGAGAAAGAAAAAAACACAATAACAACGTAAGGGAGATGAAATGAGAGAATTGAAGAAGACGACGAAAGAAAAAAATCAATAAAAGAGGGTAAAATGATCAAATAAGTAAAAACAATGTGAGATTAACAAATTAAAGAATGACAATAACTCTATCATAAGAAAAGTAACAAGTTTTTAGTTATTCGGTTAATAAATTAATTTTTTCTTAACAATATTACAATTATTCCTGCAATACTAAAGTGGGAAATGGGAATGAGAGAATCCGAAAACTTAAACATTTAACCTTGGATCATGTTCTCACAAAAACCCAGGCAAACCACTAGACCCAAAGGTGAGGAATGGTTAATAAACGAATTTGAACTGGACTTGTTCCTTTGATACTTATGGTGTAGAAGCCTGCTATGGTTGAAGCCATATAGGAGGGGTCCTTAATTTGTGTGTTTTAGTTTTCTATCTTCTATTGGTTGAGATGAGGTTATGTGTATACTCACTACCTTTGCTACATACCTTTGTTTCCTTTTAATTCTAACAAAATAGGGTCCAAAAAGGAAATTAATGAAATAGTTAATGAATTTATTAATGGTTTAAAGCCCATTGTGGTCCCTGTACTTTGAAATTTTATTCGTTCTTGTCCCTCTACTAAGGATTTGTTCATTGTCATCCCTTACTCCACCAAAGAGCCAAGTGTTGTCCCTCTCCTCCTCATTTTTGGTTCATTGTCGTCCTCATTTGGACGCCATTACTTGTGGCGTTTATTTTGACCGTTATATGCCGTTAGTCAACTGTTAACACAATTCTTTATGTTTTGTTCACTTGTTCTAACTTAGTGGAAACCACATCTACTTTCCTTTTCATCATCTTCCACTGCAGTTCCCCAAACTCATCCTTCTTTTTCCTTTTTTTTTTCCATTTTTTTCCATTTTTTTGCTGAAACCTAATTCCCAGCCCAAGATTAAATGAAATTAGCATTTTCCAACCCACTTTATAGATTGTTGGATATATTTTTATTTTTAAAGAAAACAATAATTAAAAAAATTATTATAAAAAATAAATAATAAAAATTTATTATTTTATAATTTGAACTGTATTAAATTATAAACTAAAAATATTTTAATAAAGAAAATTCTCAATATCAATTGTCTACTTTTATTCAAGTGT